GATCCCGGAAAGGAATATAGAAATGTAAGGCATGGCAACGTTTGAAAGACACCTGATTGGGCGACGGGCAAATGCAATGCTTAATGTATCGATTTTGATGTACCGTGCCGAGAGCTGTGCTGTGCTGCGCTGTGCTGAACTGCGATGTGCCATGCCGCGATTGTGCTCTATAGCGTTGTTGATCGAGTCCTCCTTTGCATCCGAATCCTGACCGAACTGATCTGGATCTTAAGCTCGAGCTGCCTCAGCACATAGTAGCTGCCTCAGAGCTAATTGACAGGGGAACATGCCAGGAGGACGCGCCGCGGAACGTCCCAAGGGACGCGCCAGGCGACGTGCCAAGGGACGTGCCACGAAGACGCACCGCGGGACGTGCCGAGGGGACGCGCTACGGAACGTGCCAATGGACGTGCCAATGGACGTGCCAGGAGACGCGCCGCGCGACGTGCCAGGGGGACTCGCCACGGGACGCGCCACGGAACGTGCCGAAGTTGCAATGCTGAGTGTATCGATCTTGATGTACCGTGCCGTGGGCTGTGCTGTGCTGCGCTGTGCTGAACTGCGACGTGCCATGCCGCGATTGTGCTCTATAGCGTTCTGGATCGAGTCCTCCTTTGCACACGAGTCCTGACCGAACCGACCTAGATCTTAAGCTCGAGCGGCCTCAGCACGTAGTAGCTGCCCCAGAGTTAATGGACAGGGGGACATGCCAGGAGGACGCGCCGCGGAACGTCCCAAGGGACGCGCCAGGCGACGTGCCAAGGGACGTGCCATGGGCACGCACCGCGGGACGTGCCAAGGGGACGCGCTACGGAACGAGCCAATGGACGTGCACCGCGCGACGTGCCAGGGGGACTCGCCACGGGACGCTCCGCGGAACGTGCCAGGCAACGTGCCAGGCTGCAATACTAAGGGTATCGATATTGATGTACCGTGCCGAGGGCTGTGCTGTGCCTGGGCGACCTGGACACGTGAAAACACGAGTTTCGCTCAAGAAGACGTTCTCAGCACATCCTCATGCTAGACATCCGCCTGGACAACCTGGACACGCGCAAACAAGCGTCTCGATCGAGACTTCCTCGACACCGCCTCATGCAAGCCTCTGCTTCGAGACATCCTCAACAAATCCTCATGCTAGACACCCGTCTGGGCAACCTGGAGGCGTGAAACTAAGCGTCTCGCTCGAAACATCCTCAAAACCTGGGCACGTGAAAACAAGCATTTCACCTGAGAGATCCTCTGAATTCAGGTCCCCAGGAGAGCACAATCTATAATACAAAACAAGCGTTTCGCTCGAGACATCCTCAACAAATTCTGAAAATCAAGCGTTTCGCTAAGGACATCCTCAATTTTTAATTCGCCGGCCCTACGCGACCTCGTTATTTATCGCACAAGAAATTCGCCGGCCCTACAGCCGTCAAAACCGGGGGGAAACCAACTAAAAGAGAACCCTGGGCTCAGGCCCTTTCCGGGAAAAATTAGTATAGAACACCAGAGAAAAGAAACAATCATACTTGTTGTTGCTATTGGGCTATAAGGCTATTGAGCTATGGGGTTGTATCGCAACATGGAAACATGGCTAAGTGTAGGGATATAGGGCTATTGTGCCATCGGGCTATAGGGATATTTGGCTATAGGGCTATAAGGTCTATAAAGCTATAGGGCTGTAAGGCCATAGGGCTAACGGGCTGTAGGTCTATGGGGGTATAGGGCCATAGGGTTCTATGGCTAAATGGCTATAGCGCTATTTGCCTATGGGGCTATAGGACTCTAGCGCTATATGGCTAAAAGGTTATAGGGCTATCGAGCTATAGGGCTATGGGGCTGTAGGGCTAGGGCTATAGGGCTATAGGGTTGTAGGACTATGGGGCTATGGGGCTATAGGGCTATATGGTATAGGGCTATAGGGCTATACGGCTATAGGGCTATGGAGCTATAGGGCTAATGGGCTGTAGGGCTGTAGGGCTATAGGGCTGTAGAGGTATAGGGCTGTGGGGCTCTAGGGATATAGGGCTATGGGGCAACAGGGCTGGCGGGCTATAGGGCTATAGGGCTACATAACTATAGGGCTATAAGGCTATAGGGCTAGAGGGCTATAGGGCTACAGGGCTATAGGGCTATACGGGCAAAGGGCTATAGGGCTACAGGGCTATCGGGTTATAAGCCTTTATGGGCTATTGTGCTATATGGCTATAGGGATATCGTGCTATATGGCTGTAGGGCTATAAGGCTATAGGGCTATAAGGCTTGAGGGCTTTTGGACTATAGGGCGATAGGGCTATAGGGCTAGAAGGCTATAGGGCTATCGGGCTGATTGGCTATTTGGCTATTGGGCTTATGGGCAAATTGGCCTAATGGGACCACTTGAGCTAATTGGATTGATGGGGCTATATGGCTATGGGGCTATAGGGCACCCCCGGGCATCTGGGCCCGGCCACCGAAATCGGCGGCCCGGTTCACCTAACCATAGGAATCCGCTGGGACCCCTGCGGAGGCAAGCTCTGATTGCGGAATATGTATACACGTATGAACGTAAACATGTGTATGTATGTATATATAGGTACACGTAGAGATACAGTGCAAGCCAAGACCGGGACGCTATGCTAGGCCACGACCGGAACAAATTCTGGAAAGATTGAGAGGATGTCGTCTCAGGCGAATGTGGCTGGGCCACCAGGGGGCAGGACATCATCGAGGTCAGAATTGTGAGGATGTCTCTGGCGAACATGGTTAAACCACCTCAGCTCAGGGCGTCTTGAAACCCAGAGTTGCGAGGATGTCTCATGAAGGAGTGGCCTGACCACCTGCTGAGGGCTTCTCGGAACCCAGAGTTGCGACGGGTCTCAAGCGAGAGAAGCCGAACCACCACGGAACAGGGCATATCCGAGATCAGAGTTGCAAGGATGTCTCAGGCGACAGTGGACGGACCACCTAAACTCAGGGCATCTCGGAACCGAGACTTGCGAGGATGTCTCAGGCTAAAGTGGCCGGACCTCCATGGGGCAGGACATCATGAAGGTCAGTGTTGTGAGGATGTCTCTGGCGAAAACAATTAAACCAGCTCAGCCCAGGGCGTCTCAAAACCCAAAGTTGCGAGGATGTTTCAAGCGAAAGTGGCCAGGCCACCATGGGGCAGGGCGTCTTCAAGGTCAGAGTTGCGACGATGTCTGAGGCGACAGTGGCCTGACCACCTGCTCAGGGCATCTCGGAATCCAGAGTTGCGAGGGTCTCAGGCTAGACAGGCCGAGCCACCATGGGGGAGAGCATATCCGAGATCAGAGTTGCGAGAATGTCTCTGGCGACAGTGGCCTGACCACCTGAGCCCAAAGCATATCGGAATCGAGACTTGCGAGGATGTCTCAGGCGACAGTGGCCGGACCGCCATGGGGCAGGAGATCTCTGAGGTCAGAGTTGCGAGGATGTCTCTGGCGGAAATGGTCTGACCACCTCAGCTCAGGGCGTCTCGGAACCCAGAGTTGCGAGGATGTCTCCGGCGAAAGTGGCCGAAACACCATGGGGCAGGGCATCTCCGAGGTCAGAGTTGCGACGATGTCTCAGGCGACATTGGCCAGATCACCTCATGTCAAAGCATATCGGACTCCAGAGCGCCGACGATGTCTCACGCGGAGCCAGCCGAAACACTTCGAGACCCGCATTTGCGAACCCAGAGTGGCGAGGATGTCCGAGGCGAGGGTGCCCAGATCATCTCAAGTCGCGACATCTCTGAACCCAGACTTCCGAGGATGTCTCACGCGAAACGGGCCTCCTCCTCCTCATCCTCCTCCTCCTCCTGCTCCTCGCCCTCGCCTTCTCCCTGGATGCTGTTCGCCGGCATGCAGCCCGAGATGCGGGTTGCGAACGCCTGCTGCTCCCCGTCCTCCTCCATGTCCTCCTCCCACTCCTCCTCCTCCCCCGCCGCCCTCCCCTTGCGTCAAATTCCACCCCCGGCTCCTCGCTCCTCCTCCTCCTCCTCCTCCTCCTCCTCCTCCTCCTCCTTCTCCTCATCATCATGATCATCATCATCATCATCATCCTTCGCAGGCCGAGCCGAGGCGAGCCGAGGCGGCCGGCGGGCCGGCCGAGCGACGACGACGACGACGACGACGACGACGACGACGACGACGACGACGACGAGCGGGACGACGACGACGACGACGACGACGACGACGACGACGACGACGACGACGACGACGACGACGACGGCGGCGGCGGCGGCGCCGGCGGCGGCAGCGGAGGGAGAACAGCAGGACGAAATCGAATGGTTCGCACACTATCTAAAAAATGCCGGACTGCCGGAGGTCTCCGGAAGTCCCCACAAGTCCCTGGGCACCTTCGGAACGCTCTGAAGCCCAGCGGGGGCCCAAAACATTCAGAAACCTGACATCCTCGAAGACGACGAGGACGACGACGACGACGACGACGACGACGACGACGACGACGACGAGGACGAGGACGAGGACGACGACGACGACGACGACGACGACGTCGCGACGGCGGCGGCGGTGGCGGCGGCGGTGGCGGCGGCGGCGACGACGACGTTGTTTTCGCGGCGGGAGTGCTGCTCCACTGCCCGGACTACTACGAGTGGTGTTTAAAGTGGTACTACTCGTGCTGATACCATTGCTATACTCAATGACGGGGATCGAAACCGACAGTATTTCTCTCATGGCGCCGCCTTCCTCTTCAGACCTTTGTCTCGCCGTGGATTATCCGCCTCCGCGCCCCGAAGCGCGAGACCTTAGGTATTCGGGCTTAGCCCGCCTGTGTTTCGCGCGAGGTACTGAGATGATTGTTGGGCTTGTTAAGTAGTTCGGGTGGTTCCTATCGGGTTCTATTGTGGTTAGCCCACTTCTACTAACCAACTTAGGAAAAGGTTGGGATAACTGGTTTGGAAGTGGTTCGGAAGTGATTCTGAACCCACTTAGCTTAAGTAGGCTAACCTACTTAGGGGGCTTCCCCCTAAGTCCGCTAAGTAGGTTACGAAGCCCAGCGTAAGTAGGTTAGGTGCCTCAGTCTGAGCAGGAAGGGAGAAGGAGAAGGAGGTGGAGGAGGCCCAGGAAAAAGGAGGATGTAGCGCTGAAATCCTGACACATCGTTGACTTTTGTCCAGGATCCATCGGTAAAAACCTTTTTTTCCTGCAGCGCCCCACGCTACATCAAGCAGCATGCGTAGAAAATTCAAGCAACGCCCAGCTCTGAAGAGGCAAGTGCCTTCCGAAATCCTCCTCCTCGATTTCCTCCTCCTCCTACTGCTCCTCAACCTCCTCCCCATCATTCCTTACGCACCTGCCCCCTCAGTCAAGTACGTCTAGAGTGCCTGAGCCGCAATTTCGGCGGGAAGAGAACTTCAGAAATCTGCCCCTCATCTGAAATCTCAGAAATACACGGCTCCAGCAAAAACTCCGTGCTCATCAGTGTTGGCACGTTTTCTACAACGCAACGGGCGACATTGTCCGCCATGCTAAGAACCTTCCACGGCGAAACGCAAGACAACATTCGACCATTCACCCTAGAATGGAAGTACAATTGCCCGAATCCCACAGAGCCGCTCTCATTGCAAAAAGCAACCGTGTCGCCCATTTGGACGATTCGGCTGTGGACAAACGCGCTTTTTGATGTCATCACCTCGCAATCTTTCGTCAGAAATATGTCCGACGCAATGGCTGCCCTCATCTTTTTCGAAGCGGGGCGAGGTTCCAAGAGATCGAGCCCAACGATTTGCACCCTGAGGTCAAACAAATGTTGAAGGGTTGCGTCCTCCATCAAACCATCTTCATAAGACGTGGTGTTGAATCTCAAATTTGCCATCCGTTTCAATACTCGGTGCTTCCTCTCCATGAGGAAGCAACTTATCAAAACACGGTGCCGAAGAAATGACGATGGTAAATGTGTAACCCAATGATTTTTACACTTCCATAAAGATGTCCCGTATGTGTTCTGATGTGCGGCGAGGTGGGATATGATAACTTCGCCAAGCTCGTCGGCGCGCACAAGACCAGAGTTAATTATAGAAAGAAGCTCTAAAACTCTGCACAGCAGCTTCATGCTGTTGGCAGCATCACCCGCGACACCTAAGGGGAGCACGATCGAATCGATGAACCTCTCAAGGACTGGGGCTGCACTCAGAAGTTCTGAAGCTGTCCCTTTCGGCGTGTGATTTTTATTACCAGCGCAAATCTTACCCCCACCAGCGTATCCACCAGGCCACTTCCATTTTTGGAGAAACTCGTGAAAAGCTTTGCCGCCTGCTGGTGTCTTCTTGAGTTCCTGAGTCAAGAACTGGGTTATTTCATGATCCATGATGCCGTCGACTACATAGCAATGCATCCAGTCCCATGACCAGGCGTGTACGATATCGAACGGCAGGTCCTCGCATGCCAGCAAACCCTTCTCAACGTAGTTGTAACCGAACAACGTCTCAAGCTCCTGGAGTCCTGTCTTGTCGTTGGCCTCCTTGAGCTTGCGAAGGCGCCTCTGGATACCACGGATAGAACCCAGTGTGTGGAGCTTGAACTTGCTCACGTCTAGTTCTGCAGAGCTGCACAGGAAACCGCTACGATCTGGTAAAAACGATGAGTTCACCCCGACTACATTCTGGCAGAGTGCGCACACTTTGTGTCCGCCTGACCCCTTGCACTCCGTCATGAATTTGAATGCTCGTTCGTCTTGAACGAGTATCTCCACGTTGCCTGTGATCAATCGGCAACTGTTGTCCCCAGGGATGGTAAATGCGATGCCGTTCTTCAGATCGTGGCCGTGGGGTGCGCCAAAGAACAACTTGAGAGCGCGAAGGGTCAGCTGGCTGAGACCCCCTTCCAATCTATTGACTGCGGTGCTCCTAACCCCGACCAAGGTGAACCATGTCAACTCGTTCGATAACGCAGGAAAGTCAAAGCCTAAAATCGACCAGTAGATGGCCTGGAGTTTGCGACTGTTGTGATCCGCCAGGGGGTTCCCTGGGGTCACCTCGTCGCTATATATAATCAACTTCAAAACATTCCCAGTCTTCTGCACAGTGTCGCGAAACAAATCTCGAAAATACGTGGACTCCTGGCAAGCGACCTCCAACCACGCGAACGGGTGTTGCCAGGTTACTTTTACAGGTTTCCCAGAAGCTGCCTCAATATACTCATCTACAAGCAAGGGCCCGAAGGATGAAGAACGTCGCGCTGCTGTGCGCCTGGCTGATCTCTGAGCGGATGTACTGAACGCATCTGGCAAATCTTCCTCGTGGAGCTGATGCAACAGCTTGGAAAGTGCACTGCATGAGATATGTGCACGCCTGCCTAAGGTGACGAGGCACGCTTTCTTGCGAGGTGGCTCGGGCATCTCGCAGCCTGAGAGAAAATGGCTATGGACAACGCAAGCGCTCAAACGCCCCTGGGCCGAACTCATTCCACACGCGCCGACGCGCACATAACACGAAACCCAACATCAATCGGAGGAGGTGGCCCACGACACACATCGCAAAATATAGTGGGCGCAGTTGTTTGGTATTGTCCCCCCAGTCTTGTTTTGATGTTTTTCCTACTGTGTTCGCGCTTCGTCTGCCAACTTGTTTTTTATGTTCAGTATCTTTTCCGATTGGTAAAGTGTTCATAATGTCCAGGGTAAGCGTGGGGATGTTGTGTTGGGGAAATGTATTCGGTTGAGGGCGTCTTTTTTTTTTTTTTTTTTTTTTTTTTATGAACGGCCTGAGCATCCAGAATGTCCTCCGAGTTTGATTTCCACTTGAAACGACTTGGGCATCCAGAAGGTCCTCTGATATTGATTCCCATTACTTGGAATCTACTGCCATTCGGGGAACAGCTTCAAATACGGGAGAGGGGCAGGAGGAGGAGGCTATAGAGGAGGCGTCGAGGAGGAGGAGGAGGAGGTGGTTTGGAGGAGGACGAGGAATGATATTGGACGGAGGACTGTTGCAATCTCATGCAAGCAATCTTGCTGACAACGTGCTCGGTGTGTCTGGTAGGGGAGGCCGAATGGCAGAGAAGCGGCGTGCAATCTCACAGATTGCACCTACAGTGGCCAAGCCGATCACGCAAACACCCAGCAATGCGAGATATGGCATGTCTGGCAGGATAACAACGACCCCGCGCAATTCAAATAATGGCCCCCCTGACCGAATTTAGTACAGGACACACGGGAAAACTCTAGCATCAAACTATTTCGAATGCTGATTGTAAAAAGCAGAGGCCGCTTGATACGCCTCCTTTGCAACACCAACAACGGCCGTCTCATTCATGCCAAGGCCGCGAGCAAGCGTTTTTACTTGCCCGTAGATGCGAGAGGCGAAAGCGTTGCGGGTCCTGCCTTTGATGTCAGCCTTGGTCAGGAGCTGCGTGTAATTGACCGCGTGCTTCTTGCCTGGCGGAAAGGGCAAACAAAAAAGGAACGGAGGATTGATGCATGGATAGGCGATGGTGGACAGGAGAGCGATCGGATGAGGAAAGCAGGATGGAGGACAACAGGGGGGAGAGTAGACAATGCGGGGCCACGATCACAGAATGATCAGGGTTGTGATCCCACCCCCATCCATGCCCGCCCCCTCTGTCCCTTTCGACATTCCATTGCACACTTGCACATCACTCCTTCCCATTCCTACCCTCACGCCTCATCCTCCACCCCTCCCTCAAAGCCATCGCGAGTCTACCGTCGCTGCCGCACAAAGAAACTAAAGAAGAGCATGCGTGCTGGGGCTGGCCTGCTGGCGTTGCCACAGCGGTCTTGCTCGTGGTGGCCTTCGCGGGCTTCCGCATGACAAGCTTCTGGGAGGCCGCGGGGCGCTTCATGCCGTTCGCCGTCTTCGACGTCTTGCCGTTCGCGGCTTCCCTCATCTTTGCCTCCAGCTCCGCGGCCTCGTCACCGTCGCCGTCATCGGCAGCAGCTGGTGGAATTGGAGCGAGCGGTGGTACCACATGGGGAGGCGATGGTACCACAGGGGGCGGTACTATCGCCAGCTGTGTCGGCGACCCCGTTGGGAGGGCGTCAGTCGTCTGCGAGTCGCTGAGGTAAGCTGCTCCGCCAGCCCCAGCATCAGGCGCCGCACCTGGGATAGCCAGTGCCAGGTGCCCCCCTGCGGCCGACGAGGCTGCGCCAGCGCCCAATCCAAGTGCACCCGCTCCACCAGGCAGCGCCCCGCGCCTTGGACGCAAGTCCGTCAGGTTGATGCCCGCGTCGCTACGGTCGGCATGACGCTGAAGACCTGGGACCATTTGCATCAGACCTGTCATGGTATGCTGGGCGATCTGGGCGATGACGGACTGTGGGTCCAATCCTTGCAGCAGCTCCGCCTGGGTGAGCTGCGACTGGGTGCGCTGAGGCTTGTTGCCGAAGGACGAGTGTGACTTCCTGTGCCCGAGCATGTCGACTGCAGTCTCGTACTCCTCCAGGTCGATCCCAATGCTCGTATCCACGGGGGAGTCGTGGTACGCGTGATGCATAAGGTCCGCTGAGAATGCACTCGGCCCGTCAGGGAAGAGGGTCATGTGTGGGAACGGTTGCTTGTTCCGCTTATCCATATGTTTGATCTGCTCCTTGATGGAGAGCATCACCCTGCGCTTGCTCTCAGCTGAGAGTTGCGCCATCTCCGAGCGCATGGCCGTCATGAGGACGATCGCACCAGCCCTTTTTATGGTCTCCTCGTTCGGGCAAGAAATACCAATGCGAAACATCCGCACCGCGACACACTGGGACTTCACACCGACGGCCAGCTCGGGGTTGTTCAAGATCCGCCAGTCGTTCTCACTGAGGAAATTGATGAGTTTGGGGCACGCCTGTTGGGCCCGTGGCCCCGTGGCGTCACGGGGCTGCGTCGACGATGCTTCGCTGAGCGCAGTGGCGAGTGTCATCTTCTGCATGTCCGTCCAGGGCCCAGCAGTGGTAAGGTTGGTCAGCGAAGTCGCATCGGCCAACGTCAGGCCATGGGTCTGGCGGATCGTGGTTGTCAAGGCTGACACTTGAGCGGTCAGCACGGAATCCCTCGGTAACCCCGCGGCTGATTGTGCTTCCACGAACTGAGTGCGAGCATGGATGGCAGCAGTCAGGGTGTCAAGTGGGCTCGCAGCCATTGGCGGGTTGAGCAAAGACTGAATGCTGACAAAGTGGTGCGATTCACAACGTGACTTGGCACAAATAGCTGCGGTTGCAAGCAAGACTGACGCCGAATTGTCGGTCGATATCGAAGCTGACACATGTAAAATCCTCCTCATCCGTCTCATCCTCGGTCCTCACCGCCAGCCTTCTCCACCCACATCGTCGTCCTACTCTTACTCATCCTCTCCCCCCCGTCCTCTTTCCTGTTGGCCCCCCGTCCTCATCGCCGCTCGCTCACGCCTTACATTCCCTCCGTTTCGCCACATCCTCACCCCCTCGTCTCTCTCAACTTCCTCCCCATGCTCATCTCTCCTGCCTCGGGAGTTGCGCTAAGTCGGGGATGGGCAGGCAGACGAACGCCACAGAGCCTCTCGCGCCAAAAGTTACCGAGTCTCTGCTCAGGGGTTGGGCACTTTTGCCAAATCCGAGGGTATAGATTGACCGAGTCCCTGCTCAGGGACTCGGTCAATTTCTCTCTCGATGTTTCCTAAGCTTTTTACCGAACCCCTGGCCAGGGACTCGGTCAATCTTTACTGGGGGAGTGGGGCAAAAGCTACTGGGAGATTTGGCAAAAGTGCCCAACCCCTGAGCAGAGACTCGGTAACTTTGGCTCTCACACGCCATGCGCCCGCTTGAGCTGTGCGCTCCAGCCCGCGGGCCTCAACGTCGAAGCGAGTTCAACCTGATGCTACCCGTGTGGCGGTGGTGGTGTCTACGACTATGTCAGTTTCCGCCAGCTCTCTCTCTCTCTCTCTCTCTCTGCATATGGAAGGGTGCGAGGCAAACGAGGAGAAGGATATTGATGAGGAAGATGTGGTAACGTAAGGGAATGTAGTACATTTGTCACGAGCCGCATTGACGACGTGGAGCATCGGGTTAAACAACAAGCGGGCCTCCGAGAGGTCACCCCCCTCGCTCCCACGGATTTCGGGGTACCGATTTAAGTGTTTTTTTCGTATCTTGAACTCCTCTTCTGCTCATCGTTTGCGTTTCCCTGTCAATGCACCTATTTGTTGTTGTTCGTCATTATTGTTTCCCGCTGCCTATCTCACACAACCTCCTCGGTGATGGTGATGTCTGCTTGATATCTGGTCTATCGGATGTGCTCTGAAATGTCATGCCAAATTGGTGCGATGTGGCTGTGTGGCAAGCACGTGTGCACCTACGTGCTATGGAAACACGGCACGTCCTGCATCCACCAGGATGCTGTGGAAACTCCCCAAAGCCTGTGTATACTAGAAACCACGGTCGCTATACATGCACTGGATGACATCACGAAGCGACGGCAAAGCAGCGTTGCATATCATTGCTCAGGGCGCTCATCCTCCTCTGGATCAGAGTGGTGCTGCAGGTACCACTCCTCCAAGACCCTCGCGATCCTGTCGCACCGCTCTTGGAGCGATCCGCCAGGTTTGACCCTCATGGACTTCGTGTGCCAGGTCTCCGTATCCCTCGAGAAGAAACGCGTGGACAATGCGTTTTTCGACCTCGACCATTTCACGTGCGGCAGACTCACATTGGGATCAACTGCGTCCTGCTGCTCAGAGTTCGGGACGTACGGCTGCGTACGGAGCAAGGCCAGCGCCTCAGGGGTCATCTCGATGCTCAGCTTGGCACGCGTGATGGCATTCGTCATGACGAGCACTTGTTCAGTCCGATCGGCAGCCGTCTCCACGGTAAGGGTCACGGTCTGAGCAATCTCGTCGTGCATCTCTTTCCTGGGGCGCTTAGGCAAACGGGTGACAAGCTCAATGTCAGGGTCACCCAAGGCAGCAAGTTGCTCATTTGCCTTCCAGATCATCAACTTGTCTGTAGCAGCATTCCGCTTCTGAACGAGATGATCGAGCATGGTGGTGTTGTGCTCCAAGTAGTTGAGAACACCCGTATCCGTGCGATCGATGCTCACGAACGTGCGACCATCCACGTCGAAGGGCTCCGCGAGCCAAGCTGTCCGAATGGGCGCTTCGGGATCAGCGGTGATCGCCACAATGCCTTGCCTGATGGACGCCATGCTAGCGTCGTACAAGCGATGTGTACCAGGAAACGAATTCAATCTGCTTGAGCCCAAATGGCTACGGATCAAGGCGATGCTGATGGGGATGTATTGAGTGGAACGGGGTTTCGGACCCCATCCGAGGCTTATGGGCCCCCCAACATACCAAAACGGTGAAGGTGCAAACACTGTCGATGCGCGTGTTCTCGCTCCCGCCTCCCCCTCCTCCTCCTCATCCTCCTCCGCGTGCTCCCCATCGTCGGTTTCTTCCCTTTGATCGTTCATCATGTTCTTGCTCGGTCTGTTCCTCCTGATCCTCCCCCGCATCCTGTTCCCCCGTCCCTCCACCCCTGTGCAACATTAGTTGCGCCACATGAGCGGGCTCCGAGGTGCCGCGCAGAAAGACATCTCTGCCCCCCCCTCTCGATGAAGGTAGCGAACGGGGGGGGGGCATTGTGGCGGATTAAAGGGGAGCGGAGGAGTAGGATGCCGAGGAGAAGGACGAGGAGGATAAGGAGAGGGAGAGAGATGAGGAGGGGGAGGAGGAGGATGAGGAGGAGGAGGCGGAGGGGGAGGAGGATGAGGAGGAGGAGGAGGAGGAGGAATGATGGTATACACCGATGGGACGCCGAGGAGGACCAGGAAGACACCTTAGATTTGCAACACCAGCGCTGCTACTCACAGCTGTATGTAGGCCAGCACCTATCCGCATATGCTAGCACGCATTGAAAGCTTGCCCGTGGCTGCCAATCCCCTGCTCGAAACGTGTGTGTTTGCAATGTTGGTGCGTGTTTCCTTCCACTTACTCGGCAGGACGGAAAGGCCATCGATGAAATCGCGTGGTGGGCAAACCCCCTCACCTCACGCAACGATGTGCCACGCCCCCGCGAACGAACACTGAAGCGCAGTGTTGTGGGGATTGGCGCAAAATGCAACCTACTTCCTGGCCTTTTTCTTGGGCACGCTGGCACTCTGGCTGGACTCAGCCCGTTTCGCGTCGGCCACTTCTGATTTGTACAACGGGGTGCCGACGTGCAAAACCTTAGAGTTAACGAGAGCTGGGACGTGCCAGGTGAAATCAGAAGCGTCGAGAGCTGACTTCTCGGTCCAGCTACTGACATCGCAACGGAAAGCAACCCTGGTGCGAACCATATTCGCCAGCGTGGAGTCCAGGGCGGTTCCAACAAGCCAGAATGGCACAGTGAACGCACCTGGAGCTCCAGACGTGTCGATCTTCGGGCAAATGTACACACTAAGCTCATGGTCCCTTTCGTCTCTCAATGGGGATGTAATGGCGACCCCACCAGCAGGAATTTTACCACCAGAGTGAATGTACGGGCTCAATGGAATGAGAACCAATTCTCCCTTCTGGTAGGTTTTCTTTGCTACGACTTTGTCAACGACACGCTTCCCTTTCTCATTGCTCTTGAAAACGATCTCAAGATTGACATTCACTGAACAAGTATCATGCAACTGAAACAACGCAAACCTCATGGCGGCCTTGAAGTTCTCATGGTGCATGTCCCTGTGCTCCTGAGCGCACGGGAGAGACGGCAATGTGTGCACATCACATGGGATGGTCAATTGGAGGGGCGACGGATGGAGAGGAGGAGGGATGAGGAGGAAGAGGAGGATGAGACGGGCACGGAGGATGAGAAAGAGGGTTCTCTTACGCTTCATCATCATAATTCCCCTCATCCCCCATCCTACCCCCTCGTTGTCCTCCTCCCGCCGTTATCATCCTTACTATTCCTATCATCACCTGCTTCTTCATCATCCACCACCCCGTCGTCTTCGTTTGGTCCTCATCCTCCTTCTCTAGGGCTGCATTCGTTATCCTTACCGTGGTTGCTGGCTCAACCTCAAAAAAAAGTCGCCCTCCACACTCATCCCTCACATCCGCTGCTGCGTCAAGCTATCCTATATACGATTCCCGAGCTCCTTAAGCATGAGGCCGTTCACGCTCACAGTCACGAACTCGTCCTGCTTCTTCACCTGGGGGCGCCCGAGAGGAGGCGAAGGGCTGCTACGTGTGCGGTACTGTTGTTACTTGTTTTTGTTACGATCAGTTACTCACCAACTTTTGTTAATGGATTTTAAGTTAGGCCAGCTGACCGTGTAGTCGTCAGCCAGTTGGTGCAGCGAGATCTGGATGGGCTTCGCCTTCTTGCCCCCGTCGGCCCTCAACGTGGCCGTGTCCTCGGTCATCTCGCTGATGGTGTACAGCTGGCCGTTATTCTCTCCAACGTTCGAGGCCACCTGCACGCCGACCTTGAAGCCCATGCTGTTGATGAAGCTGGTGTCGATCGAGCCGTCTCCCAAGTTCCGGAGACCACTGCAATTCTGAGGGTCGGCCCCAGCAGTTGCCTCCATCGTCACATGGGTTGCAGGCCAGGGTGCTTCGACCGATTTAGCATTCGGATGCTCACGGTAGACATCCATCAAGAACTGCGCCCCAATCTCTTCAATGGATCCCCACGATTTAGAACCCTTCACAGATTTCTTGTGCACGAACATGACGCACCGCATCTCGAACTTTCCTAGGAGTCTGGATTTGACTGGCTTGGGCATGTCAAGCAGAGAGAAAAACTTCTTCGCGGCCCTGATCATCTTGACAACCTCCAGGCTCTAGACGGTCCCATCTCTATCTTGATACACCGCCCCCCAACCACCAGCAACCCAGCACAGCTGTTATACAGCTCAGGTCCTGCTGATTCACGTCCCCAGCCCAATGGGGATGGGGAGGAGAAGCAACATCAAGTGTTGGGGCACCGATGGTCGGACCAGGCAGGATGTTAAGTGATGGAACCGCCTCGCGCTCAAGTACCTGGATAGCTTTGGTCTTATTGGAAGCAGTGATCGAGTTAAGCTCGGTGCCAGTCAGTAGCCTCGCCACTCCATCGCGAATAAAATTTGATGGAGCACATAATTGGGCTTTGATTATCGCATACAAATACTCTGGGCCCTGCAAGAACGATACAG